TATATATATATATATATATATATATATATATATATATATATATATATATATATATATATATATATACCCGTTCCAGGAATTTATTTGCTTTTATTATTTAAAAAACCATTCAAAGAAAATTGTTATTAAAAGAAATTTCATTACTCAATATTTGACTTTTATCTATTATGTTATAATTACAGTACTGTAATCTTCTCGATGTAATGGGACTGAATCCACAATAACAAAATTTACTTTATTTCCGATTCTTTTATTTATTATCATACATTTTGTTTATATTTGACCCGATAATGCTATAGGTTGAAGAAATTTTACTTTAATCTTCTTGATTTATTTCCTTCTTTTTATTTCCTATCATTTCGTTTGAAATTAATTGGCAAACATGCACGTTTGCTGACCATTAAATCAAACGCGAAATTTAAAGTTCTAAAAAAGTCGGCTAACATATTTGACACGATAATGCAATTATATTGAAAAAATTAGCACTCTAAAATGCAATGTAACCATGTACTTTCATATCAAGGGTAGAATTGTCAATTCAAAATACCAACTTTCTCTTTTATTTATTGTATTTATGGAAATGTATTTAAACTTTCCAAGTGAATTTTTAATTTTATATTTTACCAACGTTATTATAAATTTGGATTTTTTTTTTCTTTTTATTCAAAAGTATATATGCAAGTTTTTTAACCGACTTTTTTGTATTGCTCAACTTTTTCTAGAGGGTAAATTTGTAATTTAACGCTGCCACCAACATGTTTCCTATGCAGGGTTTGTTGCAGTACTTCAATCTAGTGGAAGGTTGCTTAACCATGATTAAATCCTATCAACAACAAAACAATTTCACCTACAACTGGATAGTCCGAACCCGAGTAGATGGGTACTGGTCGACCCGACTCCGACCCAACCTTTTCATCCCGGGTCAATACGTCGTCCCTTCCGGATCCTCCTACGGCGGCCTCAACGACCGTTTCGGCGTCGGCGATTTCAACACCTCCGTCACTGCCCTCTCCCGCCTCTCCATGATCCCAGATCTAGACTCAGCCGGGTTAACTGAACTCAACTCGGAATCAGCGTTTCAAGCTCAACTCAGACTACGAAACGTCTCTTATCTCACCAAACGGATGCCGTTTTGCGTTGTCTCCGACCGGACGTACGACTTTCCGCCGGGAAGATTTGGAGTTCCGGTAGCGACGTTGTCGAGTACAGGGCCGTTGAGTGGGGTAAAGTGCCGGCCGTGTAGTACTAGGTTTTCCGGTCGGTGGTCGGCTGCGGTTGTTAACGGGTTGGATCGGCAGTGGAGCTGGACGGAGACTGGAAAGGGAACGCTGCAGTTATGTGACGGCCATGGCGGATGGGAAGATGGGTGGGAGGAATTATTCGATGGAGTCGCTGGGAAGAAGTTGGCGGTGGAGAGGAAAAGGGTGACGGCGTTATCGTTTAATGAGTGTGTGGCGGATTTTGAGTATATGAAGCGGCGTTCCGCCGTGTGGGATGCTCCACCGGCGACGGAACTTTGCCAGCCAGTTCTATAGATTAAAAAGAAAGTCTACAAATTTTGTTCTGTTTTGGTAAATAGTGGTACACAACTACTGAAACTATGCACATAAAAATAAAAGTTAACAGCATTAACTTTTTCTTTTAAAATGCCAATTACAAAGATTTTTACAAATTTAATATTCTTTACTTCTATTTTTTTTTGTATGTAAATAAATTAAATAATACGAGATGAGCGATGACATTTGTATAATTGTATAAACTCTTGTATATAATATAACTAGTTTATAACATATGAAAACAACAGTTATAAAATTAGTTAAACTTTCATAATAAAAATTTATAATTATTAATAAACTATTTTAAATAAATCATTTTAAATAAGTTATTAATTAAGAGATATATCAAAAATTTAAAGTTATTATAACTTCAAATTTAAAATATAATTAGAAAATATAAATTTAAACTTTGAAATGAGTTACCTAATATATCTACATGACACATAACATAATATTAATGAGAAATTGTATTAGAGTGACATTTGACAAAAAAAGATTAAAACTATTTATTTAATAAGTGTAAAACCCGTGTATTACACAGGCTGATTAAACAAAAGATTAAATATTAAAATGTAAACATTAAATATTTTTTTAAATAAAATTTTAAAAATAAGTAATGAAGAAACCTATTAATTACAATTAGTATGACATTTATTACATTTAATAGTTTACATATACTTTACATATACAAATATAGAAGTATTATGTGGCTTTTTAATTTAAAATTTGAAAAAACCTAGAAATTGACATTTTGATATTATTTATTTCAAAAATATAATAAAATGACAAGTGTCAAAACTCATGAAAGATTGACACATAGCAAAATAAATCTTCATTTATTATAGTTGATTAGAATAGGGATTAATACAAATATAATATGTGAATTATGATTAACTGATATCTGAATTATGATTTACTCATTAACTAATTAACTGGATTAGGTTGAACTTTGAAGTATGATTTACTGATT